TGTGGTTCACAGTACAGTGCTTATTCTACAGCGCCACCACAGGAGTCTAGTAAGGAAGAGCCACCTCATACTACTGATACGTTTTTTGTCACATTTCTTCCCAGCCCCGTTACTTTTTTGTCATTTGCTAAGCCAGAAAGTGAAGCTTATTAACTAATGTTGTTGTTATTGTCAGGTGCCATCGAGTCGGAACCGACTCATAGCGACCCCATGCACAGCCTTATTTAATATATCTCAGAGAACAGAAAATTAGCCCACAGAGTAGAGGTCTGTAGACTCCACACTAAGTGTGAAAGAGCTCAGGAAGGAACAAAGAGTTGAAAGCAGGCATTGTGGGAGCCCCGACCGCACTAAGACATAATGCAGTGATCCACGGGTCTCTGGTCAGCAGCCCAGCTCACAGGCCTTCACAGCAAGGCTTTGTGTGTGTGGTCAGGCAGATGCCACTCAGTCTGGGGGTGAGTGGTAGAAATGGAGCAGCCAGCAGTTGGTACGTAAGTGTCCGGGTCACTGCAGGTCAGCTGGAGGAGGCTGATCCCATGCGGACAGGTGTTGGACATTTGTCAGAGGAGCAGGTGGTGGGGGCTGGGTCGGTGCAGGACACAGATCCCGCAGCAGGACACAGGAGGAGGGGGACATTTGTGCCCTGTCCTCTGAGCCAGCTCTTAGGGCCTCCTGTTCCCAGCAGTTTTTTCTTCCATTGCAGTTTAGTCATCTGCATAAAAACACTTAATTACTTAGGTATCATTACCTGAGATGTGTGTCTCACCTCATCAAGGCCTTCAGTTTGTTCTGTTGCCAAGTTAGGACTCTTCACAAGATCCGGGGTCCCTGTGGGGCGAGCTTTTCTTCAGCCTCAAAGGCTCAGAGTCATCATCTCCTAATCACCCCACCACATCACTCTCCAGCATGTTTTCCTTCTTTATAATAAAAAGCCTTTCATTACAGAAATTTTCAAGTAAATACAACAGCGAAAGGAGTACTAGCATGAATTTCATGGACGTATCACCCAGCTTCAACCTCCATCATTCTGCCATGCTCATTTCATACAACCACCCGCTCACCTTCCCCCAAAAGCATTGGATCATTTCATTTGAATGTATCCAGCCATTGAAAAGAGCTGAACAACTATGCCATTATCACACCCAACAAAACGGAACAGTATTTCTTTATTTAAGGTCGAGTCTATAGTCAGTTTTCCCGTTGTCTTAAAACTGTGATTTTACAGTTGATACGTTTGAATTGGATTGAAGTGGTCCACACAGTGCATTCAGTTGATGTGTCTCAGAAGTCTCTTCTAATCGTGAATGCTTTTGCTTTGTTTGTTTTGAATGCCTTGTATTTGTCGAAGAAAGTGGGTCATCTAACCTGCAGCATTTCCCATATTTGAGATTTGATTGAGTGTAACCTTGCAATCAGGATCCCTGGTGGTGCTGTGGTTAAAGCACTTGGCTGCTAACCTGACTCCTCTCCAAGGGAGAAAGATGAAGCAATCTCCTTCGGTGAAGATGAATGTCTCTGGGGCAGCTACCATGATGGCAGTGGGTATGGTTTGGTTTTAGCCTTTTTTTAAAAAAAAAACACAAGACCTTTTTATTGTGAATTAAGTGAAGGCATTAAAGAGCAGATGATCTGTTTTGCAGTCCACAAATTGTACACTTCGATTCATCTCAGTGATTGCGATCCCCCAATGTAAAATCACTTCGCTCACTTTTCCTTGTTTCTTGTTACCATTGCTCCTCCTTTCCCTACCTTTATGCACTTTATCCCTGGGTGAATGCTGCCCTTTCGATCTAGATTGAGTGACCATTCTGTAGTGTGTGTACCTTACCAGTTTGTCTCCCATATTAATCTATGTATTGCTTGGCTGAAATTGAACCGAGGGAATGAGTTCATTTCCAAACCTGTGACCACAGAGCCATAATTTCAAGCCTTCTGCACTCTGTCTGATCAGTAAGCCTGGTCTTAGTTTATGATTTTGAGTTTTAGTTCTCATTTCTCCCACTCTATCTAGGACCTTCTAATGTGATCCCTTTTAGAGCTGTTGGTAGTGGTAATTGGGCGCCATCTCGTTCTTCTGGTCTCAGGGTGTGGAGAATGATGTTCACAGGGTCCAGTATTCCCCTGGACTGTCTGTGTCCAAGTATCTTCCATTTTCATCACTCATCTTTCCTTTGCACACAGAAAGACCAGTAGTTGCACCTTAGATGGCAGATCCTGAGATTTTAAAACCCCAGTTACTCCACACCTAAGTAGGATGCAGAACATTGTTTTTGTGTTATGTCATGCCAAGTGGCCATGGTGTCTCCCAAGTGTCCTGAGCCCTTAGTACCAGCAGCTCATTCTAGCATGGTGTTAGGCAATGTCTAAGAAGTTTTCATGACCAAACTTCTTGTATACACCTTCATGGCTATACTTGCAGCAAAGAGTCAATACCTATGTAAAAATATCCCCTGTCCAACCTATGGGTATTTGTGGGTATACTCCTACTCTCTCTCTCCCAGTCTTTCAACTTTTGTATCTATCCATGCATCTATTTGTAACCTACCATTATCACAGGACTGGGTAGATAGCAGTATCTACCTGTCACCTTTAACCAGTGCATCCTCCCTGCGTCTTCCTAGGTCTCTGTTGTTTTACTGATGCTCTCCCTCCTAGTGTGTATTGACTTAACCTTCATCCAAGTTATGTTTCTACCGTCTTTCCAGTGACCTTGAGGTCACTCCCATATCCTTGTGTTTCCTGTGAACTTGTAGTTATGTCTAGAGACTGGATTAGGTTTCCTTTTTTGGCAAGGATGTTTCATAGGTGGTATCACATCAGCAGGCATATGAGTCTGGTCGTCGTAGTCTCAGAGATGATAATATTGATGAATGGGTTTAAGCAGTATCTGCCTGATTCTTTCATCATTGGGTTCCCCATCTAGTTTTCAATGACTAATTTTGGCATGCATTACTCAGCCCTTTTTTGAAGACTGCAGACATTTCTTGGGAGGCCTGTGTTTCAGAAGTGGCTTGGTTAGCTAGCAGTCGTACCTGGTGGTTGGTATGGCCCTAGCTAGGGTCCTAGAAACTGAACATTTTCTAATGCTGACATCTCGGGATGTAGAGTAACTAGCTGTACATTCAAAAATCCCTTTGACATTTTAAAGTGTGCTGTACTGTTGTGTTTGTTTTTATAAGTTACCATTTTAACCATGTCCATGTGTATACTGTTGTACAACATCACCACTATTTGTTTCCAAAACTTTTTCCCCAAGAATAGCTCCCATGCCCTCTCCCACGCAGCCCATGGTAACCACTAATCTCCTTACTGTCTTTATGCGTTTGCCTGTTGTAGATTTTACGATAATTGATTGGCACCTGTTCCCACCGAGTTGATTCTCACTCATAGTGACCCTGTAGAACAGAGGAGAACTGCCCCCGTGGGTTTCCAAGTCTGTCACCATTACAGAATTAGACCGCCTCATCTGTATCACAAAGGTTCAGACTACTAAAGGTTGCCAACTGCTTGCCCATTGGGCCACCAGCATCCCTTCTGCTCTAGACGCTTCATATGAATGGGATCAGACACCGCTTTTCCTTTTGTGTCTGGCTTCATCCATCTTGTAGCATGTATTGGAACGCCATTCCTTTTTACAGAAAGTAATATTCATTTATCCACATGTACCACATTTTGTGTATCCGTACATCTGCTGAGGGATAGTTGGATTGTTTCCACCTTTTGGCAAATGTGAATAATGTTGTGGTGAGCATTGGTATACAGGTCTCTGTTTGGCTCCTTTCTTTCAGTTCTTTGGGGTTTTATAAAGGTAAGGAGACTGGAGGCACTCAAGAAAGCATCTAGTGCAGTGCCCTTTACATTATGTTGTTGTTAAATGCCATAGAGTCAATTCTGACCCATAGCGACCCTGTATAGGGTTTCCAAGGAGCAGCTGGTGAGCTTGAACCACCGACCTTGCAGTTCAGACGACTTTGCAGTCTGACACATTAGCCCACAGCGCCACACCGGGATTCCAGTCTTTACATTATAGGGTCTCAATAAACTGTTCCATGTCCTGGGGTCAAAGAAGGGTGGGCAGTGGGTATCAAAGAGCACAGGCTTTGGGACTCCTGTTAGAACTGGGCTTAAATCTCCTTTCAGCCACTTGTTAGCGGTGTGACTGAGGACGCATTGAAATAAAATGAGGATTCCACTCAGAAGGGTTCATGAAAGAATTTAATGAAAAAAATACAGAAGAGTGTTTAAGACAGTGCCTGACATGGAAAAGCTATATAACACATGATAACTGATTACTGATTGTCTTCTTGGTTCACTTTCTTAGGAAAACATCCCTCATGGGGGAAACTTATCTTAAAGTTAATTTGAAAAGAGCTGTTTCCATTACGTACAATCATCAGTCTTATCTATTTTCTGTCTCAATACTTGAAGCTTAAGCCTAAGCCAGGGAGAGATTTGGGAGGTATAGGCATCAGAATCACCCAAGGTGTTAAGTAAGATTACAACTTCTTGTTCCATCTCTGGGAATAGAAGCCGCATCTCCCTTTTTACCTGCACTTCCAAGGTGTTTATTATACTGGGATTTGCGAGCTAGTCCACGGCATTTATTGGTCATGTTTCAATATGTGCCTTGCGGAGATCCTGAGTGATACAAACAGTTAACTCAGGTGGTTACTAATGGAAGGTGAACTGTCCAATCAGAGGCCCCTCCAAAGAACTGACTGCAGATATTGAAAACCCTACAGAGCCAGTTCTCCTCCGACACACATGGGGGCGCCATGAATTGTAATTAACTCCAGGGCAACTCTGTGTGTGTGTGTGTGTGTGTGTGTGAGAGAGAGAGAGAGAGAGAGAGAGAGAGAGAGAGAGAGAGAGAAACTTAGAAAAAAAGAAAGAGTAACTCGATTTTAGACAAGATCAGAATGCTAGGTTTTTTTTTAATGGACTTGGGATGAGATGTTTGTTTGCCAAAATAATTGTTTGCTTCAACTTCTTTTCAGCTGTTACGAAACCAGAGGTTTCCTGCTTCCTATCATCATGCAGTGGAGACAGTTGTTAACATGCTAATGCCACACATCACTCAGAAGTTTAGAGATAACCCAGAGGCCTCTAAGAATGCAAACCATAGCCTTGCTGGCTTCATCAAGGTGAGTCTCTCCAACGGGGTTGTCACTTAGTGACTCAAAGGTTCTTTTTAAGCAGCTCTCTAGCAGAGTGACTACTATATAGACGGTGTGCTGATTGCATGTACTCATGTGAAAGGTTAAGCTTATCAAAAATAAACATTGACTTGAACCCAACTTTTTCAAAAACTTTGGGCCTGCATTACTTACCTTTGTGGGATTTTTCCTCTACAGAGATGCTTCACCTTTATGGACAGGGGCTTTGTTTTTAAGCAGATCAACAACTACATCAGCTGCTTTGCTCCTGGGGATCCAAAGGTAATATGAATGCTACACACGCTTTCTATTTCTTTCTCTTATTTACATCTGGAAATTCACTTGTTTCTCTAGATTCACATCAGACTGTTCTTTCAGTTCCAGAAGAAAACTCACTCCCCTCTCTTGGAGACATGCAGGAGGCTTCAAATAATAGTCCAAGGGAAAAGTCCATTATCTCTGCATTCCATTTTCCTATGAACTTCTCAGAGCCCCCCTAATACTAGTATTTGCCTTTGTGCTAGTGTGAGGTGTTAAACCTCTGGCTGTGGCGTCAGTTCCGACTCATGCGATCCCAGGTGTGTCACAATAGACCTGTGCTCCCTAAGTAGATCAGCACCTGCTCAGGCACCTCAAGTGGAACTTCCAACCTTGCAGTTAGCATATGAGCACCTGGTAACCCACCATTTGTACCTCATGTGAAATACTAAGAGTATGTTTATCTCAAATGAGAAATAAACATACTTATTGTTGTTGTCTGGAGTCCTGGTGTGGCGCTGTGGGTTAATGAGCCAGACTGCAAAGCCATTTGAACTCCAAGGTCCATGGTTCAAGCTCACCAGCTGCTCCTCAGAAACCCTATACAGGGTTGCTATGGGTCAGAATCGACTCAAAGGCACTTAACAACAACAACGTTGTTGTTTGTATAAACACCTGAAATGACTTCTCATTGGCAAAACTTAAGAGTTTTGTTAAGCAAGCTATGTTGTGAGCCATGGTGTATTTAACAAGATTAGGGGAAATAGCCATGTTTTTTTCTGGTAGAACTCTCTCTGTGTCTCTTCCCTTGGTTGTATGTGTATATGTTTTTGAACTTCTGCCTAATGAATTTTTGCATAGTGTTGATACTACATCTATTATGGTAAGCCATGTGAAGTCATTTATTGTTGTTGTTGTTGTCATTGGGAAGAACATAAATCAAAGACGCCCCAAGAGTCAGTAGATGACATTGTTTAATGAAAGGTCTTTTCGTCTTTCCAACAAATTCCTCAGCCATTCTAAAAACCCTAAATGGCATTGAGAATGTCCAGGAGCTAAAGGCGGGGCATATTTATTTCTAATAGGTATTTTAGGGTTCTAAAGAACATACCCAGTGAGATGTTTACTTTGCAACTAAGCATTTTTTTTTCCTGCAGACACTTTTTGAATACAAATTTGAATTTCTACGAGTGGTGTGCAATCATGAACATTACATCCCTTTGAATTTACCCATGCCATTTGGAAAGGGCCGGATTCAGAGATACCAAGGTAATGCCTTTCTTTATCTGAGTCTGAAATGAAAACACTGCGAGAGAGCTGTTTCTATTTTATTAAGGAAAGATAATGGTTCCAAACATGATTATAGAATTTCTTTTTCATTGATGACTTGAAATTTTTTCAGATTTTCATTTGAAAAGGTCTTGCTGAAGATGTTATATGGAGACCTTACTTTAGCAAATTTATCAAATTTATGCTAATATGACATTTTTCATTTAAAAAATTTCCTTAAACAATAAAAATCCATTTTACTTACTACAGTTTATTTTTATTTGTTCCACTTTTTTTTTTTTTTTTCCCTTCTTATACATTAGCTTTTCTGTCACCAACTGTGGAGTCAAATGACAATCCTGTAGGTAGGTGTGGGGTGTGATTCTGGCTTTCTTGCATTTCCCGCCCGTAAACAGAATGCAAGTGGTTGCTGAAATGCTTACGTATGCTCTTCACTGAGGCATTCCGTACGTCTTTTGATCAGTGTTTAAACTCATGATAAACCTGTGAATTGGTGTTTACTGTAGCAAAGACATTGCTGTACCTTCCGTGAGAGGTATCTACTCTTTTTTTTTTTTTTTTTCTGGGCTGTTTCTTTAAAAATGAATAGAAATAAAACACCCTTCTTCACCCAAAGACTTCATTATTCCCCCATTTCCACAGCCTTTGTCCATGCGGTGATTGTAGCCAAATCACCAGCAGTGTGGCTTGATCATAGCTTTTTCTGTTTGCACGTGGAGCCTTGAGACTGTTCTGCCTCCTCATTTCAAGTGTGCGCTCTCATAGGGATTTCATAGTTTCTCAAGTCTGTCAGGTAATGTTTTTAGAGTTTCTTGTTGTTGTTAAGTACCAGCAAGTCGGCACCAATTCACAGTGACCCTAGGCACAACAGAGTGAAACACTGCCCCGTCCTGGGCCAACCTCACAATCTTGCTAAGTTTTAACTCACTGATGCTGGCACTCTGCCAGGGCATCTTATTCAAGGCCTTCCTCATTTTCTCTGACCCTCCACCTCACCAAACATGATGTCCATGTCCAGTGACTGGTCCTTCCTGACAATATGTTTGAAGTATCAAAGATGAAGTCTGGCCATTCTGGTTTCTAAGGAGCACTCTGGCTGAACTTCTTCCAACACAGATCTGTTGGTTCTTTTGACAGCCCATGGCACTTTCAATATTCTCCTCCAAACCATAACTCAAACACATCAATTCTTCTTCTACATTCTTCGTCATTCACTCCAATTTTCTCATGCCTGTGATGTTATTGAAAATACCCTGGCTTCGGTCAGGCACCCCTTAGTCCTTAAACTGACATCTTTGTTTTCTTGGGTTGTGTGCCTTGCATGTGCTCAGAAGCATTTGTACTCAAGGAGAGAAGTGGGAGAATGCCACCTAACAATTAGTCACCCTAACGCAGCTGCCTCTGAAATTCAGAGAAACATGTCAAACCCAGAGACCTGTTTACCTTCCCCCAAAGCAGACTGAGGAGTTTGCAGTCAACACATACCGACCCAGCACCCATGGTTTGTCTTCAAGAACTGCTCTAGCCTCCGGGATTCTGGCCCTGTCTGTTTTGCAGAAGGGAAAATATGGAGAATGAGAGATAGTCATAAGTGTTAAAAAAGAATTAAAAATAGAGCAATTAAGAGGCTTTGATAAGGAGTGTGTGGGGAGCTGGCCTTTGAAGTGGGGTGGCCAGGAAAAGCTTCACTGAGAAGGTGGCTTTTGAAGATTAATCTGAAAATCAGCCATGTGTGTGTCTGAGGGAAAAGCCTTGTGGGCCAGTGAGCCAGTGGAGCCTTTAAGAGTCCTTGGTTCTAACCCCCACCTCCCTGTCTGGCCTCACTCCCCACTAGTTCCCAGATCTCAGACACACCTGTTTACTCCCAACTCCTCAAACAAGACATGCAAGCATTCTCAGGCCTACTTAGGTCACCCCTCACCCTCAAATAGCCACTTCTCCATGAGCTCCCCATCCTTCTGAGTTGGACTTCCTGTCCCCAGCACTCTACTTTCCCTCCTCAGCTCCACCTCACTCCCGCTGACTCACCACCCTGTTGCCTGCCCTCCTAGCCCATTAGTGGCCCCCCTGTGCTTGGAGCTCTGCCTTCCTCTTCATCTGTCAAAGGTTCATGAATGGTTGCTCCGTGAACAGCTGTTAATAGTCCATTCTGCCTTCTGACCCACAGGGCCTAATAACTTACCCTGTACAACTGAGTGACAGGAAAACCTGCGGTGAACCAGGCAGACTTTGCCATCACCATTGACACACTCTCTTAGGAACTCCCCAGGGTAAAGTGGGGGTGGGTGATGTACGGAAGACTTGTCTGACTACACAGATGGCCATCGAGTACATTCTCACTCATGGCGACCCCATTTGTGTCAGAGTTAAACTGTACTCGTACGGTTTTCAGTGGCTGAGTTTTCAGAAGTTTATCACCAGGCAGGATCCCTGATGATGTTGTAGGTTTAGGCATTGAGCTGCTAGCCACAAGGTCAGTGGTTCAAACCCACCAGTCACTGCATGGGAGAAAGATGAAACTATTGGCTACCGTAAACATTTATAGTCTTGGAAACCTTATATATAGGTACACTATGGCAGTGGAGTCCTGGTGTGGTACCGTGGGTTAATACGCTGGGCTGCAAGGTTGGTTTGAACCACAGTTCAAGCTGACCAGCTACTCTTCAGAAACCCTACACAGAATCACTATGAGTCGGAACTGACTCAGTATCACTTAACAACAACAGAGCAGTGAGTGGGCTTTTCTGAGTTGCCTCTGGGTGACCTCAAGCTTCCAATGTTATGGTTAGGAGATAAGCAATTTAGCCATTTGTACCACCCAGAGACTCCATACTGATAGGAAGCTTTCTTCTCTATCTTAAATAATCTCCTTCCTGTCACTCTTCTTCCCTGCTGCTCTCTGTGTCTCTCTCCTGGACGTGTGCAAGCGCACACACATACAGTTAAACCCACAAATAGTTTTCTTCTAAGGGTTTTTTGTTTTTTAAGTTCAGATTCAACTATATTCTGGAGGAACTGGATTTAACATGAATCAAAATAGGGAACATGATTGTTTGGAAGGTGAACACTCTATCTTTTGCTTCTGCTGAGCAGTGTATTAGGATCCTTTTGGATGGCTTTAGAACAAACTATCTGATCTAGGTTTAAAGCCAAAGGTAGAATCAAAGAATTCACAGATGTTCCTCTAGTAATGAATTCCATATAACCATTCAAATCTTAGCTACAGTTTACTGAAAACATGTGTATTTCAGCTTTACAGTCCTGTTTTGCTGCTTGCTTTTTGTTTTTTTTTAAAAAAAAACAAAAAAACCTTCCTGAGTAGATTTCATGTTTGCTTCTCTCTCTTTCTCCAGAAGGGCTTTCCAATTTTTTCATTTAGTTTATGGATGATTCACTAGTTTAATTGGGTACTTTGCCCATTTTAGTTTTAGTTTATATTACACATTTCATTTGATGCCCTGTTCACATACGATAACTATCTTGTTTTAAATGCATTGCATTTTAATGGGTGTCTTTAGGCTGAGTTTTCTAGAAAAACAAAACCAGTGAAACGTATGTATACATATATATATATATATATATATATATATATATAGAGAGAGAGAGAGAGAGAGAGAGAGAGAGAGAGAGAGAGAGAGAAGTTTATTATCAAGAAAATGGCTTAGACAATTGTAGATTTCCAGATCCCAGTGGAAGAGAGAGCCTTGCCTGAATGTGCATTGTATTGGGAGCAGGCCACACCCCCAAGGAAACATCCTTTCAACTGATTGGCTTCTCATAGCCAATCATCAGAGAGCTAACTATGCCTGTATTAGGTCTCAGCACTTAACAACAACCGCTGTAACCCACTGGTAATTCTGGCCTAGTCAAGTTGACACAGAACACTAACTCTTACAATGGGAGTATATAGATAGATGTTGTTGTGTGCCATTAAGACGGTTCCCGCTCATAGTGACCCTTCCTTGAGGTTAGCAGTTCAGTGCTTATCCTACAGCATCATACCAGGACTACATTTAAGCATTAATGACCAGTAAATGGAGAAATGAACAGCTGCAGTAAAGAACATGTTATTAGATTATGTGTATTTGGTCTCTATCTTTAATTACATGCTTATGATGCAGAAGTGATTCCTCTATATTTCTATTAGTTAGAGCAATAACTTAATTTTTAAACTTTGTGTCCCTACCATATTACATTAGTTAATGTAATATGCTCAGCTCTCAGTTATAAAAAGATGCTGCAACCATCCCCTAACTTCATAATTCTGTAGGCCTCAGTGGGTTGTAATCTTAAGTCAATGCGATTGCCTGGCTGTTAATTCTGTTTTCATTGTTAAGTTAGGCATGTTAAGAAGCAGAGTGGTTTGCTAGCTAACCGGCCCCTTCATAGCCATTTGTTGGGATATATAGTTTGGGAAGAGTGCAGAGTAGGGGGCTTTGGTTTTGACTTTATTCCAATAGTGTCACCTTGTCAGTAATATAGGCGGTCTCTATCCTCATTTCAGATCTCCAGCTGGATTACTCACTGACTGATGAGTTCTGCAGGAACCACTTCTTGGTGGGACTGTTGCTGAGGGAGGTGGGGGCCGCCCTCCAGGAGTTTCGAGAAGTCCGCCTGATCGCCATTAGTGTACTCAAGAACCTGCTCATAAAGCATTCTTTTGATGACAGATACGCTTCGAGGGTGAGTACACCCCAACAGAAGGAAATACGGGTTCAAAAACATTCTTGACTTTATATAATACAATGAAAATAACCAGTCAGGAAATTAGGGTACCATGCTGAGACTTTCCCCTATTTAAACAATGAAATCAAAGATCCACCTTCGTGATGTTGTTGTTGTTGAATGCTATTGAGTTGGTTCTAACCCACAGTGATCCTGTATAGGGTTTCCGAGAAGCAGTTAGTGAGCTTGAACTGCCAACCTTGCAGTTCAAACTGACTTTGCCGACCAGTGCGTTAACCCGCAGTGCCACACCAAGATTCCATCCACCTTCATAGGAAGGATCTAAATAAAGGGAAAGCCAGTGACAACCAGGCTGTTGCCAAATGCTCACTGATACTGTTAAGTGCCATGGATTTGGTTCCATGGTTGATGGATTTGAACTGCTGACCTTGCGGTTAGCAGTCCAGTGATTATCCTGCAATGCCACCCTAGGGCTCTAAAAGCTCATAATGTTGTTGTTGTTAAGTGCCATCAAGTTGTTCCAACTCATCATGACCCTGTATATGGTTTCCGAGGAGCAGCTGGTGGGTTTAAACCACTGACCTTGCAGTAAGCAGTCTAGTGCTTACTGTACAGTGCCACACCAGGGCTCTAAAAACTCATAGTTCTGGGGAAAACTTACAGATCGTGTCTTTGTTTCAGAGCCATCAAGCGAGGATCGCCACTCTCTACCTACCTCTGTTTGGTCTGCTTATTGAAAACGTCCAGCGGATCAATGTGAGGGACGTGTCCCCCTTCCCTGTGAACCCCGGCAGTGTACGTAAGCATATTCACATACACACAGCCTCCCCAGTAAAACCGTAATACTCTGCCATGCTCTTCATAAACTGTATTCCTAACTCAGATAGGATCCATCAGCAAATGTCTCTGAAGGTTCAAAAGGAGGATGCCTTAGCGGTCCGATATCTTGTTAAGACCTCAGCATCTTGTACACACTCCACAAAAACTCACAGGTGGGGTCAAAAAGAGCAGAGCCTGAACCTGTCCCTTAGGAAAGTTCCGTCCTTGTCCCACTTTTCATGGTGATATGCTGAGCAATTTGGGACAAGCCACTTCGTTGGGCCCTGGTTGCTCTCCATCTGCTCGGTTAACAAGTCCAATTGAATGTCAGTGATCTCAAGGTGAGAGACATGAGGCCCTGCCCTCCAAGAACTGGTCACCTTCGTGGATAGAGTCTTTCAGTAGTCATTTAAAGACGGCGTTGGAAGTTAAGTTGCCTGAAGGGTGACCCTCAGGATTTACCTCAGAACGTTTCGGTTGGGAATTGATTTGTGTTTCACTCAGTCCTTGATACGTGTTGATTTCTCTTGTGGTTGGACTCTTGCTATCGTCTTACGGGTCAGCTTTTTCCAAGCATCAGCACGGTCAGTTACTTGGTCACCTTTGAATTGTAAAAGACTTTGTAGATTATTAAACTAAAATAACTTGTAATTGTTTTAAAAATTTGTTAGAAATTTTATAAAACTAAAACCCATATTCTTTATTTTCCTAAAGCTTGCTTTCTGGGTCCCAGAGGGTTTCTTGTTGTTAAGTACCATCAAGTCAGTTCTGACACATAGTGACCTTGTATAGGGTTTCCAAGGAGTGGCTGGTGAACTTCAACCACCGACCTTAGGGTCCAAACCGACTTTGCAGTCTAGCGCATTAACCTGCAGCACCGCACCAGGACTGGACAGACATTACCAGTTCAACAATTTCCTTTCCCCCTTTACTCTGGACTTACGAGCTGGTTCAGTAGTGACCTTGTCACTTTGTCATTATGTCATACACTTAGGTAGTTTCCATTCATGCTGCTTCCCCGCCCACCCCCCAAACAGTTATATGTATATTTTTATTAGTTCTCCACCGCTTAATACACTTCCGCAGTAATGTTACACTGAGGTGAGTCACATTTATAGAATGTTTTCTCCAGTTCCAAATGAAATAAACCTCCTCTGTCCTTAAACGAGACACCTCACTCCTTCTACCCTGGGTGGTGCATATAGTTAACACATTCAGCTGCTAACCAAAAGGTTGGGTGTTCAAGTCTACCCAGAGGTGCTGCAGAAGAAAGTCTTGGCAGTCTGTTTCTGAAAAATTATCCATTGCAAACCCTACAGCGCAGTTCTGCTGTAACACACACAAAGGCTACAACGAGTTACTGTCAACTCGCTGGCAGCTTGTTAGTCTCACCCTGTGCTGCATTGTATTTCAAACTTGTATCTCTGAACTCGTCTGCCTTTCTACCTGTAATTAGTAGTTCAGGATATAACTTGACTTCTGGAAGAAAAAAAATTCACACTTGTTCTTTCTTTGGCTTTTAACAAGCAAAACACTGCAAAGTCATTATCCCTGTTTTAACATCTCAACTTCAAAATGTATAGCATTTCTCTTCTGATTAGGCACACATATGGAGCTCAAAACTTCCAGATTTTCAGTGGCTCTGGGAGGAATCCAGTATGAGAGAATAGTCTATGTCCAATAAGAAAGAGAATCTGAAGCATTTTCTGAGGAAAAAGAGATGTACCGAATTCATCGAGAGCATCCGAAGTTCTGGACAGGACACACTGTGATAAATATTGGGGAAAGAAATGTAAAGGCTTTACGGAATGAGAATTTGAGTTTTTGGGATCCTCTGTCCTTGTCCTGCTCCAATATGTCAGCCATGTTCCCTCCCACACACGACCATGTGGCTGTTGCTCCCACTCGAGCACACGGAGCCGGAGCGTGTCAAGTTGTTCTGTCTTGTGCTAACATTTGCCCCCACACTTCCAGAAGCAGCTGATGAGCCTTCTTGGATCATCTTTGATTATTTCTTTTTTTCCCCTTTGACAGACTGTGAAGGATGAATCACTTAACTTGCCAACTGTGAATCCATTAGTGACGCCGCAGAAGTCGGGCAACACGTTGGACAACAACCTGCACAAAGACCTCTTTGGTGCTATCTCTGGCATCGGTAATAATCGCTTTTCTACTTTTTAGTAGATAAACTCTAAAAATGTCTTTCATCACATATTTGCCTTATGTCCCAGACTTGTAAATTAGGATTTGGAAGCCTGAGTTTCTGTTTAGAATATTCTTTCTCCTTTTGTGATACTTAAATTGACAGAAATCCCTCAGGCATAGCGCTGTGGGTTAATGCGCAGGACCACAAGGTCAGTTTGAACCACACGATTGGTGGTTCAAGCTCACTGGCCGTCCTTTGGGAATCCTACAGAGGGTTGCTATAGGTCAGAATAGACTTGATAGCACTTAACAACAACAACTTCACAGAGGAGCTGGTGCAGGGCTTACATAGTGAGAATACTAGTCAGTGTATTTCTCAGACATTTCTCTCCACCACAGGTACACCTCCCCGCACGCCCACCTTTCCACCTGTCCTGCAAAGATGGTCCTTCTCTAAAGGCATACATACTAAGCAATCCAATGTGAAGATTTTAATGATAACTTACTAAGAGTTACAAAAAGAACAAACAGTCGCAAATCAGCCGTTAAACGTACAGTACATGGTCTTAACGAGATTTTGGAATCTCTGTTTGAGTTGTTGTTGTTAAGTGCCTTCGAGTCAGTTCTGACTCATAGCATCCCTGTATAGGGTTTCCGAGAAGCAGCTGATGGGTTTGAACTGCTGACCTTGTGGTTCGCAGACTAGTGCTGATCCTGCCACACCCCATCTTCCCAGGATTCTCATCAGAGTCCCGGGCCTCTTCTGTTGATATTTCTCTCACACTCAGTTACCAGACTGAAGAAATGAAGCCTCCTGTGAAGCCTAGAAAAGAACCCTGTTGCCACAACCCGTCCAGACTCATGTGCTGATTAAAAGTTGGTGGTTTGAGTCCACTGGAGACTAATTTTATACCTTTTTACGTGCACTTCAAGATTCATGCGAACTTTTCCCAAAAAATTCACCCCCACGGGCTTATTTTTTCCTCAGGCTTTATCTCTCTTTCTCCCATCTTTAAAAATACATATCCTTGTTGAATTGGTATTATGTTTTGCTGTGTATCTTCTCAAAAGCAGCTGCAAACTAAATAGAATTATAGAAAATAAATAAGTATAAGGCCTCATTCCCTTTTATGATTGCCTTCCTGGGAAGCTCTGTGTTTGAACTGGGTTTTTTAGCTCTTACTTTGGCATGCTTAGCAACTGCTTTTGGTCATCCAAGAGTTTCCAGTTAGGTGGAACCCCTGTACCATCGTCCTTCAAGAGCAGATTTTCTCCTTCTGTCTCTATGGGGAAGAAATGCTATTTCCATACAGCTTGAGAGTGAGTCCTCACTAGTTTGTTTTTCAATGTTTTTGAAATATGATGCATGTATAAAACCAACTCTGGAATGAGATTAGTTCTAAAAGGCAAGCATTCTTAGGCTAAGCGTTCCTTTTCCAGTCTTCTGTAGATTGCATTGGACTGTCTTGTGTAGGGCAGTGGGAGGGCAGGAAGTCCTTACTAAACATCTTCTCAGTTTCCTTCTTGTGGTGTGTCATTGTGTCTACTCCCAGCACCGTACAGGACAGAGTAGAAGTGCTCTAGAGAATTCCCCGGGTTGTCATTGGTAAAGACGTAGCTCACCAGGTCTTCTTTCACTCACGTGGAACTGCTGAATGGGTGTGAACCACTGACCTTGCAGCTATGAGCTTAACCACTGTGTTACCAGGCTCCTCTTCTGTTTGCTGATGTTGTTGTTGTTAAGTGTCCTGTATAGGGTTTCCCAGGAGCGGCTGGTGGGTTTGAACTGCCCACCTTGTGGTTCGAAGTCCAGTGCTGATCTGACAGTGCCGCACCACAAGTCCTTTCAGTTTACTTACGTGCTCTTTAAAGTTTTTTAAAAGTTAGGCACTGAGCCAGTGTGTTAAATACAGAGAGCCCCATTTTTCTGTTCAGCGTGCTGATTGTGATTTATTGAATCTCCATCTGTTTGCCTTAGAGTAGGACTCTGGCTCTGGAATCAAGCCTAAAACGCTGAGAATTTAGGCTCTCCGTTAGCTTTCCTGGGGGCCTCACTCTCCTAACTTCGATGTCATACACTGAATGTGAATTCTGGTTCTGATACTAGACTCATGCTTACACTGTGATTACAATGCTGGGTTCCTTTTCTCTCTGAGTTTAGGAAAGGACTCCTTCAGAGTTGCTTTGGCAGGGCTCCCCTTGCCCCCTCCTCCATGGCACCCCATCACACAGTGTTCACCCCGCCAAGGGCAGGCTTGCTGGACACTAAGACTCTGTGTTTGCACGTTCTAGCCTTCTCTGATACTCTCACATGGCGCTAGCTCCTCTCTTCTTGGTCTTAAATTTACTCCACACACTGAATCCGTTTCAGGCATGGTAGTAGATAAACAGGGGTGTTGCTGTTGTTGTTAAGAACCATCAAGTTGGTTCTGACCCATAGAGACCCTGTATAGTGTTTCTGAGGAGCTGCTGAGTTTGAACCGCCGACCTTGCAGTTCAAAATGACTTTACATTCCAGCGTACTAACCCACAGTGCCACACCAGGAGTCCAAACGGGTAGAGGGTGGGACTTAGTACACTGGTATGGTGTGGCTTCCTATGAGGTTAAGGACCTATTGGCATTGCCTAAGAAATTATGCCTTTATTCCATTACCCATCCAAATTAAAATGCAGCAATTAAAAAATGCTTTAGGTATATTTTTGGTGTCTAAAACGTTTGGTGTCTAAAAATGCTTTAGCAGCTAGCCATAGGATTTATTTTTAAAATGAGAAGTCTGAAGTTTTCAGTGTCTCAGTCCACTTGCTTGCTGGAATCTGAAAAGGACGAACACTGTTCCCAGGTGCCGGTGTGGGAAGCTATGCTGAGCACAGTGCCAAAGTCTCCTTGTGCGGCCTTCAAACCCAGCCAGGCCTTTGAGCTACAGGCGTGTCTTTTGGTTCCTCGGAATGTACAGTCTGAAAAGTCCTTTTCGATTTTGTGATTGACTTAAATCTTATCTAATCAGGCAGCCAATCTATTACCTTTAAAAATCCAAAAGGTCCAAGGTGGGCTGTTTTCTACCTTCAAACAAATGCTGCTTTTGCGTGGATGTTGTAAGTTTTACAGCCAGCTTAGAATTCCTTTTTGCTCTTCACTGTTTATTGCAGATATTCCCAAACAGTCTCAGTTCATAGCATCCTTAGTCATCACTGTCATTTTCCTGGGGATCCGCAGGACGAGAGAAACACCTGACAGGTGTGGGACAGTGAATAGGACTGTACCCATGAATATATGTGGATTTGGCAGAAACTATTGTGGCATATATGAAGGGGCTTCAGAAAGGTTGTAGAAAAACTCCACCATCTTTTCATTCTATTTTTCCATGAACTTTTGGAAGCCCCCTTCTGTATTTATGTGTGCTGTCATTATACCCAGGGACATAGTAGAGCATACAGAGTCCTGGTGTGAGGCTGTAGCATAAGCACTGGACCACAAGGTTGGTTTAAACTGGAAGGCTGGCAGTTCAAACCCACCAGCTGCTCCTTGGAAACCTTATATAGATCTCTATGAGTCAGAAACAACTCAATAGCACTTAACAGCAACATTAGACCATGCAGAGGGTACAAAGTTATGAAAACATCTTAGCCAGGACCAAACATCTTGAGGGAATGAGTCTCTGGGCTTAGGGACTTAGGATCCGAGCCTTAGGGGACATCTAAATCAGTTGACATAGCATAGTCCATGTCTTCTAGATCCTACTTTGTTGACATACCTTAAAATTGGGAGCTGCCATCTGAGATGGGATTTTTGGTCTCTCCGTGTTAAGAGCAAAGAGTGAAGAAATTCAAAGAAGCTAGGGAACAATTAGTCCTAAGGACAATTGGGCCATTGAAACCTCAGCTTCCACCAGAACTAGATGGTGCCCAGCTTCTACGACCGACTACTCTGATAGGGATTACAGTAGAAGGTTGTGGATAGAGTGGGAGGAAAATGTAGAGCATAATGCAAAATCATAAAAATGACCAGACTTATTTTTGGTCTGATAAAGACTGCTAGAACCCCTGAGGCCACGGCCCTTTGTTACCCTTCAAGCTGGGGACTGAATGCATCCCTGTAGGTGAACTCTCAGGAAAGCCATCATGGTGCTTGCTGGTTACGTGCTGTGAAGTCAGTTCCAACTCATAGCAACCCTGTATAGGGTTTCCAAGGCTGTAAATCTTTTCAGAAGCAGAAAGCCTCATCTTTCTCAAATGGAGCGGCTGGTAGATTCAAATTGCTGACCCTGTGATGAGCAGCCCAGTTCGTAGTCCACTGCATAGTGAGGGCTCCTTCAGCAATAGTAGATAAGCCTGTGAAATGACCAGTAACTCAAGGAGGAGTATAGTCCTTAGAACAATCAACCGTGATGCTGAAAGGACAGTATTTAACCCAAAACAAAGCTCAGGAGGCTGGAAGGGACAGGAAAGAAGGATGAATGGACATGGGGAATCCAGAGAGGATGTGGAAACGGTGCTGTGACATGGTGGGACTTGGCATCAGTGTCGCAAAGTAAAATGTGTAGACATTGTTGAACAGAAAGCTAATTTACCCTATACACTTCCATCCACATCACAATACAAAGCTAAAAAAGAAACACCTGGCAGGTTGTGTTTGTTAGGTAAATAGTCCTGGTGTGGCGCTGTAGGATAAGCACTGGATTGGCAACCACAAGGTTGGCTGTTCAAACCCACCAGTACCTCCTCGAAAACCCTATACGCAGCCACTATGAGTCAGAACCAACTTGATGGCACCAGTCACTCCGTGGGAGAAAGATGAGGATTTCTGCTCCTGCAAGGGTTTACAACCTCGGAAACTTTACAACGGGGTCGCTGTGAGCCACAATTGACTTGACAGCACTTCATTAACAACATCAAATTTTGAGTTTCATGCATTAAGACAACTTTTAATTTAAACAGACTGCCATAAATTGTGCGGGAAAACACTACATTTTCTTATGTAGTACAAATAAATCTATCAATAAATTTATACTTTGAAGAGTTAATCTCTATTTTTTTTTCATTATTTAGAGAATACTTTATTAGTTTCTGTAATCAAACCCATGTAGATAAGACCTTATATATTCAATACAGTGCGTTATCCCTGTACATATGGGGGGATACTTTTTCCAAAGTTGATACAGCACAGATAAAGTTTCCAGAAATTCAAATTACATATATGTGTGTGTGTGTGTGTGTGTGTGTGTGTATATATGTATATATACTGGTAGCGTAGTGGTTACGAATCGGGCTGTGAACCTTAAGGTCAGCGGTTTGAAACTACCAGCCGCTCCGCGGGAGAAAGATGAGGCTTTCTACTCCTGTAAAGATTTACACCCTCGGAAACCCTGTACAGGGTCGCTATGGGTCGGAACCGACTCGACGGCACTTAACAACAACAACAACAACAATAACCACAGGTCCAGAGAACTTGATACGTTCTTATGTTCTCATGATTTAACAACCACCACAAGGAAATGGACATAAGTTTTAAAACTACCTTCACATCAGTCTTCAATCATTACAGTGATTTGCTCGTTTGATCCTTGTGCCTTCTCAAAGTGTGGCATCAGAGTGGACACCACACAACTCGTTTCGTGTTCCACATTGAATTCACCTAAGACTTGCTGTTCATTGTTGTTGTTAAGCGTTGTCAAGTCCATTCTGATTCACAACGACCCTGCATAAGGTTTCTGAGGAATCACTGGTGGGTTTGAGCCACTGACCTTGTGGTTAGCAGTCCAGTGCTTATCCTACCATGCAACATAGGGCTCATGTTGTTGTTGTTATGTGCCGTCGATTCGGTTCCAACTCATAGTGACCTTGTACAGGGTTTCCGAGGCTGTAAATCTTTACGGGAGCAGAACACCTCCTTTCTCCCGCGGAACAGCTGGTAGTTTCGAACTGCTGACTTTGTGGTTCGCAGCCCGATTCGTAACCACTATGCTACCAGAGCTCCTATAGGGCTCATGTTGTTGTTGTCAAGTGCCGTCGAGTTAATTCCGACCCAACATGACCCTGTATAGGGTTTCCAAGGAGCAGCTGGTGAGCCTGAACCGCAGACCTTGCAATTCAAATGGCTTTGCAGTCTGGCGCATTAACCCACAGCGCCACACCAGCACTCCAGCTATCGGGCTCATAGCAACCACCAAATACCCAGCTTCACAAAACCATGATGTCATCAGAAGCCTGTAGCAGGACCTTATGTCAACAGACGTCAGATGTCTCTGTGCTTGAAATTTGACTGTAAAACATCCCATGGTACCTTTTGAGTTTACAAGGTCATCTCATACTTTGAATGCTGTGCAGTTATTGGATAGGTTCATTTTTAAAATTTGATTATTTTTGGTGGAGTTCTCTTTTTTTAATTTTTTAAGGCTTCATTCTGAACCAATGTGTTCCCCTTGAGTCTTAGCAATCGAAGGTTTCTAACAAACGACTTGATATATATGTCTTAATGTTTCAGAGTAAAGCTTATTTTTTTGGCTTGATTCCTTAAAGGTGAGGTAACTGGATGCAACTCTTTAACCAACTTTCTAAGAATGGGTAAAAAAAAAAAAAAAAAAAAAGTCCTATATGAGCATTTCCCTTAAAAGTTCACTTTTTTATGTTGTTCTGTTTTAACCCAAATTTTGGTCTTGGCTTCATTCCCATTTAGCTTCTCCATATACGACTTCAACTCCAAATATCAGTAATGTGAGGAACACTGACTCCAGAGGTTCACTCATCAGCACGGATTCGGGCAACAGCCTTCCTGAAAGGAACAATGAGAAATGCAACTCCCTAGATAAGGTATTTTCTTTTCAGATAACTCAAGTGATTGTCTGAGCTCATGGATTTAAAGCAAGATTTAAAACAGTCCTGGTGTGGCGCTGTGGGTTAATGTGCCAGACTGCAAAGCCGTTTGAACTGCAAGGTCTGCGGTTCAGGCTCACCAGCTGCTCCTTGGAAACCCTATACAGGGTCGCTATGGGTCAGAACCAACTTGACAGCACTTAACATAAACAAGTTCTAGTGTTGATGTAGTGGGACCTTTGTAAAGGACTATGCCTTTAACCTGTAGTAAATGATTAGAGCATTATCTAAAGATGGGGCCTGATCTCTGAGTCTCCCTGATTCCTGATTCCCAGATCTCAGCCCAGGGGTAATGTGTACCCAGAGCATCCTCCACCAGTGATTCTGGCAGGTTGGACGTGCAGGGAAATCAAAATATCATGCTCACCTGTCTTCAGGCCAGGAGAACATTTATACCACAGTTATCAAGGCAAAAAGTCGGAAGCCAACTCCAGATAGGAAGTGATCATACAGGTGATTAAGTGATATATGGCTTCATTAGAAATGGCTGTGTTCCTACAGCCCCTGCCCACCCACACCCACCCCCCTACACACAACACACCCCTTCATCTTCAGCCTTTCGTTTAAAATCACTAAGGTTCTGACCATTTGGAACTTTGTGGAAAGCATGCGGACTTGGGCTTACACCTGGCAACCAGGATAGATGGGTACCATCCTGGCACTGTTTTCTTGGGATAGTTCAAGTTTCACATAAGCACCTCACAGGTGAACTGTTAAGGGGTGTGTCCTGAGTTCTCGACAGAGCAGAGAGTGTGTTTCCTGAGGCATCAGGTCTGTGGCCTTCCGGGCCGTTTCTGTGGCTTGGCACGGATTTGATTACTTGTAGACGTGGCTCCCTGGTGGGGTGTATATTGTGATGCCTTTGACTTTTGACCCTAACATGCCTCCGCTCGGCAGAGGGAGACGCTGGTGAGAAGGCACTCTGCTTATGTCATACGCAGCGCTGGAGAGGAGGAGGCGAGCTGCCAGTCAGCCAGGAAAAACCGGGTCACTGTGGACTTTTCCCTTCTCACGATCCCGTCTTTGCCAGAGGAAACCTTGCATGCTGCACCTCCCCTCCCAGGGCACCAAGTACTGAGTTCTCCTAGCCACTCCCCCTGAGCGGAAGGGCGAAACAATGCGCTTGCGCCGCTGTTCTGCCACTAAGCGCACCTGGACCGTCTTCCTTGCGGGAAAATACTGCTTATAAATGAAACCAGTTTGCTATTGGTGGTTTTTCAGTTTGCCCACCAATGCCTTAAATGAAGCAATCTCTTTTTGCCCCTCCACCGATCTTTTGGTATAGCAAAAACAGAAAAAAAAAAGATTCCTGATTTCCATGGAAATACAACTTGGAGGCTGTTTAAAATGTCTTGTGTTTTATGACAATCCAAGATTACCGCTTTGTTTTTGATGTGAACGCTTTAAACCTGTGGCCCTGCAGCTTAGTGGCAAAACTGCTATCCCCCGTTGTGCGCTGAGTTTCTGACGTTTGCAGTGTTGAGCTAAGCTGATGACCCAATGACCTCATCTGCTTAGGATCTTTGGCAGTGTGGAGGTGTCCCCGTTTGTACCTATTGAGGACCTGTCTTTGCCCCGAAGGTGCCCTGTGACATCCATTAATGGCAGTGACTCACTTCCCAGTGTTGTGATTGATCCGTAGTGACACCCTAGACTTCCTTTGCTGTGCCAACCATTCATATATTCCAGACGATATGGTTAGTTGTGCCGCATCTCTGGCATCTTCGTTTCTGTGTTCGGTCCTAGGCCAACCTCACAATCGTTGCTATCCGTGAGCACGCATACTTCTCTTGCATGCAGATTTACTTGGTGCTTCCAAACTAAACCAATAACCAAAAGTGTGGTTCTCCAGTTTGAAAGGTTTGTGCTATCTGCCTTGTCCCTTAGGGAAGTAAGCAAAGAAGACAAGCCAATGCTTCTGTGGGATAGCATTTGTGTAGACTTGGGTGAAGGTGTGTCTAGTTGAATTGTAGATAAAGTGCTTATACCTTCAAATTTACATGATTTGACTCTATCCTAAGAATTGTTCTTTTGAGGGAGTAAAGTAGAACTATATTTTCTTTTTGTATGTGAAGGGAAACATCACCTGTTATTTCCTTTTTAGCACCACCAGAGTGGCACTTTGGGAAATTCTGTGGTTCGCTGCGACAAACTTGACCAGTCTGAGATTAAGAGCCTGCTGATGTGTTTCCTTTACATCTTAAAAAGCATGTCTGATGGTAGGTGAAAATGAAAATTTCTGTTTCACGTTTCCTAGTTTCAGGATTTTTTTAATTTAATTGTAATTAGTTGAAGGGCTACAAGCATTAAAAGAAGCTTCTTCTTTTCTTTGAAATGCATGTCAGTTTACTAAAGGTAGTAGAAATAAGAGCCTGCAGTGGTGGGATAGTGGCAGAATTCTGACCTTCCATGAAGAAGACCCGGGTTCGAGTCCCAGACAGTACTCCACATGTGCAGATACCACTTGCCCGTCAGTGGAGTTGCTGTGATACTGAGCTGCTTTCTGTGGAGACAAACTGCTGAAATCTCATCCAGTGAGAGCCCTGCGGATCACAGTGGCCAATCCCATTGTGCCTAGGGTCGCCATGAGTAAAAGGCCAACTCGACAGGCAGCTCACAACAGCGGTGAAATAAAAGACTTCGTTGGGAGGAAAGAGTTCTGTTAATTATTTTATTCTAGACAGTAAGTTCTAACGTGTGAATGGACCTATTTTTTTTAATTTATATTAAAGTTGAACCTAGCATGTTAGTGAAAGGGAGAGAGATGCAGATAATGGAAATAAATTTAATTGGTCCAAACAAACTCCTACTTACTGGAACTTGCATAACTGTATGAGTCAGTCTCTGAGATTAGAAAGCACAGTGTTGGGGGACCTATGCATTCCTTCCACATAGACTGATTTTGTGACATTCCTGGCTTTACCTGAGAATATTATTTTTAAATTTCTAATAATCTAGTCAATTTAAGAAGATATGACAGGACCCATAGGAACCCTGAACAGGGTTTCCGAGGCTATAAATTGTTATGGGAGCAGAAAGCCTCCTCTTTCTCCCACGGAGCAGCTGGTAGTTTCGAACTGCTGCCCTTGCAGTTTACAGCCCGATTTGTAACCACTACCTTTTAAAAATGGCTTGTGTTCATTCATTAATTTAGTCACCTATTTACTCAACAAATAGTTAAGGTTTATACTTCTATAATCCAGGTATAGGATTTTCTGTGTAGGAAGATAAATAATACAAGGTTCCTATTTATAAAAAAAGAAGAAGAGAAGAAGATGTGACAGGTTCCAAGGCCCAACTGTTGGCTCTAGTCACGTGGAGCAACAGAGGAAAAGGAGACTCGGGAAGAGGAAGAGGATACGGAGGATGTGGCTAATTGTCTCCTTTGTCATGAGACCAGAACTAGATGGTGCCTGGCTATCATTACTGAACATTTTCATCAAAGGTTCTGTTGTTGTTATTGTTAAGTACCATCAGTCGGTACTGACTCATAATAACCCTGTGCACAACAGAACGAAACTCTGCCCGGTCCTGGGCCAACCTCACAATTGTTGGTATCCCTGAGCCCATCACTGCCACCACTGTGCCAGTCCTTCTCACTGGGCATATTCCTCTTTTTCTCCATCCTCCACTTTACCAAACATGATATCCTTCTCCAGTGACTGGTCACTCCTGACAACATGTCCAAAGTATGACAGACGAAGTCTGGCCATCATGGTTTCCAAGGAGTTCCCTGGCTGTACTTCTTCCAACACAGATCTGTTTGTTCTTTTGGCAGTCCATGACTTTCAATATTCTCCTCCAACTATGCAAAGGCTATCTGTTGTGTAGATCATGACAAGCCATGGACAACATTGCAAAGTATGAGTATTCCAGAACATTTAATTGTGCTCAAAAGGAACCTGTACAAAGACCAAGAGGCAGTTGGTTCAAACAGAACAAGGGAACATCAAATGGTTTAAAATTAGGAAAGGTATGCGTCAAGGTTGTATTCTTCCACCATATTTATTCAATCTGCATGGTAGACAAATAATCCAAGAAGTTGGATTTTATGAAGAAAAACATGGCATCAGGATTGGAGGAAGACTCATGGACAACCTGTGATAGGTAGACGATACAATTTTGCTTGCCAAAATCAAAGGGGGCTTAAAAATACTTACTGATGAAGATCAAGGACCACAGCCTTCAGTATGGGTTGTACCTCAGTGTAAAGAAAACATAAATCCTCACCACTGGACCAATAAACAACATCCATATAAATGGAGAAAAGATCAACATTATCAAGGACTTCATTTTGCTCCTGGATCAACCATCAACACTCACAGAAGCAGCAGTCAAGAAATCAAACGACATACTTACTGCATTGAGCAAATATGCTGCACAAGACCTCTTTATAGTGTTGAAGAGCAGAAGTCAGTTTGAGGACTAAGGTGTTCCTGACCTAAGCCATGGTATTTTCAATTGCCTCATATGCATGCAAAAGTTGAAAAGGTTCTGTAGAAGAAGTCTCATCAACAGGAAGCAAATGAAGGACAAATTTTTTAATTCTCATGGAGTCTAGACTTTCTGGAGCCATGGAGGGTGGGTAAACCCCTGAAATTATTTCCCCGAGATAATATTTTAGCCTTAAACTAAAAATACCCTGAAATAATTTAAAAACTCAACAGTGGTTCCACTTAAGTAGTTTAAAAAAACAGCATTATGTTCTTTTAAAAACTTTATGGGAGCAGATTAACAACAGCTATTCGAAAGTAGGAGAAAGATCAGAGTTTCCGCTCCCATGTAATTTTAACGCCTCAGAAACTCTATGTTGGGTGGCTATGAGTTAGAACTGACTCGGTGGCACTTAGCAACAACAACTCAAAAGACTAGCTAGGCACCTTAGGGTGCAGTGAGTTCATGTGACTGAGGGAGGAACAACTTAGAGAAGGAGGTGAGAAGGTTGCCCAACTCACCAGATGCAGTCAGTGTTCCTAACTAATAGATGTAGGAAGTACTGAATCCAGCTGCATGTTTTACTATGTATAAACACATGCGTAAGTAAGTGTGCATTGTACTGTGTGGTTACCAGATAATGTGATAAAAATTAAAGTTCAGTTGTTCAAGTGTAGCTTCTTAAAGTTGTATAATTCTGTTGGATATGTTATCCAATATAGCTTAGTGTCTCTGGTTTATCTTTTCATCAATCTTTCCATCGTAGCTAAAGTAATAGGCGATTCTCCATAATGTATATTATATACATCATGATTCTGATCAAATAAATGTTTATTTTCTAGATGCGTTATTTACGTATTGGAACAAGGCCTCAACATCTGAGCTTATGGATTTTTTTACGATATCAGAGTGAGTAGTTTTTGTTGTTGTTATTTTCTGCTTATTGCTGTACCTGTCTTGCTAAGTCAAAGGTGTGAAGGGATACTGCCCGGTGGCTCATGACCCAATGGGCAGTTGTTAAGTGTCATTGAGTCAGTTCTAACTCATAGCGACTCCATGTAGGGTTTCCTAGGAGCTGCTGGTGGGTTTGAACTGCCGACCTTGTTGTTTGAAGTCCAGTGCTGATCCTACTGCGCCACACCAGAAGTCCCAGTGGGCAGTGACCAGCCTTAAACTGTTACAGATATGTGGCAGGATAGAGCAAAAGTAATAGCGTAAAATGAATGAACTGAATTGAGTGGACGCTGCTAGTGTAAATTGAATGTAACGTAAACATTCAGTCAGATGTAGAAACTGAGACAGAGAAAAAACGAGTATGATTTTCAAATGTTTGATAAGAAGTCAAAGTGAAATCTTACGTATTACTATTTTATCTCATCAATCTAGGTTTCTGATTTACGTTAGGCTCTTTACTATTAGAACCACAGATCTGCAGTCTTTTATGGAAAACCATTGATTTTCAGAATTCAGTATTTTGGGGGTTTTATTTTAATTTACATAGAGAGTATAGTATATGACATCCAACAGGGTTTCAGGCAGCTCAGTATTATTTCTGCAGCAAACAATAGGATTGTGCATAGTAATTAGATAACGAATAACTAGTTAGCTTTGTGTCTGCTGGTTTGGGTCGTGTTTTGCTGGTGAAGTACATTTGTACATATACTGAGGTGGAAATCCGCAGCTTTCTGAGCTTGTTAATTTCATAGTGCCATGACTTTGTCTTCTGCTGAGTTACAGAAGAAATCTGTCATGTGGTCAAGGAGAGTCACAGCACCAGAGGAACTCATTAGACATTAGCTGTTGTTGGGGGCCATCGCATCAAGCTCAACTCATAGGCACCCCATGTTACAAAATGGGGCTGCCCCATAGGATTTTCTTAGCTAGAATCGTTAAGGGAGCAGATTACTGGATCTTTCTGTCAGAGAGTCTCTGTGTAACTTCAAACCACCAACCTTTCAGTTAGCTGTCAAGACTGTGTAGAGTTCATTAAATAGGTTCCTTAAGACGCATGTAACTTCCCTTTCTTTCTCTGTGGCTATATTAAAACAAAACTACACATTTTTTTCCTGGTGTGGCACTGTGGGTTAATGCACTAGACTGCAAAGTTGGTTAGAACTGTAGGTCAGCGGTTCCAGCTCACCAGCTGTTCCTCAGAAACCCTATACAGTGTTGCTATGGGTCAGAACTGACTCAGCAACACTTAACAACAGTATCACCACATTTGACATTTGCAAAGGGCCAGTCTGCATACTTGAGCTACGAGAGTGCTCCTTATACAACTTCAAGTGAAGGTTAAGCAAGTTGGAACAGTGTCCAAAACCGTTGATTCGTTACGTGATTTTGAAGGTAAAAGTGCCTTGGAATAAACATCCAGACTCTGAGGAAATGGGAAATCTTCTTGGTGGGCTTTACTCTTTGTGTCCCTCAGGAATCCATTGCAATGCTGATGATAGTAGCAAAATCTGAGGCCTCTCCTATTAGCCCTCCAGGCATAAGTAAGAGGCAGAAATAAGATTTTATTGCATTTCCTATGATTGATGGTTTTAAATAAGAGCGTGTTGGTAACAATGTTGTCTTCATATTTCCCTAATAACTGTACATCTCATCTGCAGAGTCTGCTTGCATCAGTTCCAGTACATGGGAAAGCGATACATAGCCAGGTACTGTCGGCCGTTCTGGGGTGAAAATTGTGTCACTTGACTCCCCCTACTTTTCTCTGTTACTTGGCTCTGAATGTGTGGGAATCGTCAGCTCTGGTGATTTGCAGTTGGAATTCACAGACAAAAAACTATGAAGACATTTGGCAGGCGTTTAGGTTGCCACCATCAAAACCTGCTAGCATCTTTCTCCTGCATTCCTACATCCCTGCTGTCTCCTTTTAATTCCGACATAACTCTTGGAAGCCTTCTCTGCGATGGCACGTTGCCACACGTGTGCACTTCCGTCCAGATCTTACCTGCACTGTTAGTTCTGTCTCCTCCTTCTCCTCTCGGTGATGTCTCTTTTTTTCTCATTTTTAACCTTCTTGCTCCCAACTATATAGATACTAATTTCTCATTGAACCACTTCCCTTCTTTCTTAATGCAGAATTGTTTCCAGTCCACCCCAAATATTTTTGGACTGACACAAATTTCTCTGAAATTGAGTGTTTTCCCCCCTCTCAGTCTTAGTAATCTCCAAATGCCCTGTGTTTTTATCCCACCAAATACTGCTGCATCTCGTGATCTGTCAGTCCCCTCACCAAGACCATATGTCCTTGGTTCCACATTGAGTTCAAGGAGTTAGACATTCCTGCTCAGAAGTATCCCAACAGCCCCTCTTTGGAATACTTCCTCAGAGCACATCCTGCCCATAAACAAGTCTATTAACTCCTGCTCTGCAGCCAGTCACGTGTCTGTATTCATTTTTTTTTCCTGTGTTGTGAGCTGTTCTCTCTGTGTGATATACGGGTATTGGTCTAAGAATTATATTTTCTATTATTTTGTTTTTAAATAGCATAATTATAAGTGAGATTATGTTTTATGTTTAAAAAAAACTAAAATTTTGTTGTAATTGATTTTTTTCCCCTCCTATATATAATTCTGTTTTTAACCAATTATAGGAAAGAGTTTTTTGGGTTTTTAAAAAATCTTTAAGTGTGAATACTTGTTTTCTATGTTGGCATTCTTTTCTGGGGATATTAGAGAAATTTTCAGAATTACATTTTGTATTAAGAAATCAAAGTATGTGTTTTCTTTTAAGAAAAGCAAATGTTGAGAACATATTTTGCTTTTTCCTCCTAGTAACGTGTATTTTCTCATTTTTATTGAAATTTGGTGATATTTGACGTTTTCTAAACTTGGCTTTTTTAAACTATAACAGTAATCTTTACACTTGATATTTGTGTACAAATGCAAGTATATACAGGGAGGTCTTATACTAGTCTCATTTTATGCCTTCAGTTTATTCTTGCTGACTTTACCCAGTGTAGCTGGATGATCTATGTGTTTTATAACACAAAGACACTATATTGGGCAGGCTTCACACCCTTTTATCAGTATCTGTCACCTACGTCACCAGATGGCATTTGAGAATAGTATGCAAAATAGAACAAAATGCCTCAGAGCTTAAAGTGGTGAATGCAGGAAGCTGCAGGTTTCTGCCCCAACAAAATATTTTTATATTGGATTTTGGTGAAACGGCTAGCTTGTGTTTCAGTGGATTAAAATGTAAGGTTTTTAAGAAAGCCTTCCAACTCATTAGCACCCTGTATATATTTGCATCTGTAGGTATGTGCCATCTGATCCCTTAAAGTTAGATAGTCATGGGAAGGCGGAAGTGGAAGATGATGTAATTCTATGCTTTATAGAAAATTGCCTTGGTCTCTGCTGCATGTGGGGGGAAAAAGCTCTGAAATCTTCATTTCAACGTTGCCAGTGTTTACCATCCATGGTGGTCGAGCTTCATAAATACTGTGCCTTTCCTTCCCATTGTGTCTTCTGGAAACCACCAGCAGCATGCTGTCTGACAATGGTCCATGCATGTCCTGTTCCTCCACACAGTAATAACACAGTGAAGGGGAATGGTTGGCTCTGGGATTGGGACAGGTGTGGTTCCAGCGCGGGTGTCAGGTTTCATCTGCTTTGGTGACGGTACACAGCAGGAAGTTACTGGTCCAATTGCTAACCCAGATCACTTTTCTGTTTTCTTCACTTGATTGCTGACAAGTTTAACACAGTGTATGGCTCTGCTCCTACATGCTTGGGTAAGAATGAAGGTGTCCAAATAGCCTCATCTAATTCCTTCCATTGCATGTTTGTTCACTGCCTGCCAATGCTCTGCATTTATTTATTTAGTTAGTTGCCTTTTTTTAATATATGGAATCCCAAAAGGTTTGCAGTGTTTTGACAGCTGTCAGAAACATTAACCTTAGGCACCACATAAGTGGTGGCTTGATAAATGTGTATATATATATAAATATATATATATATACATACATATATATATGTGTGTATATATATATATACATATATACACACATATATATATGTATACACACACACACACACACCACAGAGAGAGAGAGAGAGAGTCTGTTGTGCGGTGGGTTAATGCACCAGACTATAAAGCCATTTGAACTACAAGGTCAGCAGTTCAAGCTCACCAACTGCTCCTTGGAAACCCTATACAGGGTCACTATGGGTCGGAATCGACTCGATGGCAGTTAACAACAATCTATATAATATACATATTGTTGTTGTTGTTAAGTGCCGTCGAGTCGGTTCCGACCCATAGCGACCCTGTACAGGGTTTCCGAGGGTGTAAATCTTTACGGGAGTAGAAAGCCTCATCTTTCTCCCGCGGAGCGGCTGGTAGTTTCGAACCGCTGACCTTAAGGTTCGCAGCCCGATTTGTAACCACTACGCTATAGGAGCTCTGGTAGCGTAGTGGTTACCAATCGGGCTGCGAACCTCAGGGTCAGCAGTTTGAAACTACCAGCTGTTCCACAGGAGAAAGATGAGGCTTTCTGCTCCCATAAAGATTTACAGCCTCGGAAACCCTGTACAGGGTCGCTATAAGTCAGAACCGACTCCACAGAACATAACAACAGCAAATATATATACATATATATTATTTATTTATTTATTTATTTTTAATAGTCTCTGTCAAGTACTTTGCAAAATGAGAAAGGTCTCTGTGCTTTGGCGTGGTTTTTGCTTCCCCTCGATCCCACGCTCTGCTGTGCACTCTGCCTGTTTTTGCTCCTGGCTTGCTCGGGTAGGGTCCCAGGCAGGCTGCTCACCTGCACCTAGTCTGTGCGTGGCCAGTCTCATTTGTGCAATGACGGCTTTCCTAACGCTCCTGGTCTTGCTGCAGGGTAACCAGTCTAACTTTTGCTTCTATCCCATTTCACTCATGTTGCAGGAACCAGGAGGGGTTGGGCCCCATAGTTCATGATCGAAAGTCTCAGACATTGCCTGTTTCCCGTAACAGAACAGGAATGATGCATGCCAGATTGCAGCAGCTGGGCAGCCTGGATAACTCTCTCACTTTTCACCACAGTAAGTCCCATGACATACCATCATCGTAACAGCCAGTCATCTCAGCTGACATCCAAGCGGGGACAGCCCCCGGGCCACACCAGACCACATCACCAACTTGATTTTTCTTGCAGCGCAGAACAAGTAGGGTGAAGAGCTCCCGGTGCGGTTTCCCTCCCCGGCGGAGAGTCCTTGGCACTTGGGAGAGACAATGGGGAAGCTGGTCAACTATGGCACCTAAACCCTCTTGGCCCTTTGCCGATTGCTCCCTGCCTGGTATCTTTAAGATAAAATTGGACAGGTTGGGCAGCCATGCATTGTCCAGAATTGAGAAGTAGCCATTGGATTCATTGTCTATGGCCAATACTTTCTGAATTGTTTTGCTTAACACAGCTGATTGATACAAGTGTTGATGTAGGCCTCCTACCACTCTTGAGAACATCTGGTACAATCCCTCTCTGAGGCCGTGCGTGTAGTTGACCAAGCGTCCACCTTCTGCCATGCCTGCTCTGAAAATTGGTGACTCCTTCCTTAATCAACAGTGAAAGCTTAAAGCCCGTGAATCAATGTGTGTAGCCTGTGGCAAAGCGTCCAATAACAAAGTGACTTTTTCTGTGTTTTCAGTGTGAGAAAGATTTCAAGTGTGCTTGGGATTTCTGTAGACAATGGTAAGATTTAATCAGGTCGAAGTCTGCTTATGAGGCTGCTTCACTTGCAAACCAAGACCTTTTTGTTCATCTTGCCTTCCTAACTTTGGGGCTTTCTAACTTCATGATAGAGATTTCTGCCAAAACGTGGGAGTGTATTATGACCCATTCACTTCTATTAGTCGCCAGAGGGGACGAAGCATCGTGTGCTTCTTTTAGACACTTAAGTGTGTTTCGTTTTCTTCAGTGTTTCATCATCTTCTACAAACTAGAAAACCTAAAAGATAGAAGCCACATAGCTTGTTAATACTAATGTGACCAGTGACAATAAAGACCATTTCTGTTAGTGGCCTGTGCCCTGAATCATTCTGTTCCTACCGCAAGCATGACACTGCAAAACTTATTGCTTTACCTGGAATACTGTTTATTCTCAATCTGAGAACCATTTTTTAATACATGGCTATGAATATCTTCCTCTCATTTCTAATTGTAAGACTCCCATTCACTCAGACTTTCAGCCCTACCTCTTGATACTAAGGCTAAGAGTAAAGGCAACATCCCCAACGCCTTGTATTGATAAAAATTCAAAACAAGAAAGTGGCAGAATCCAAATCCAGCTGCTTCCATCTCTTCTCCCCCACAGCGTTAAATGGAAGTGGCGAAGTCTCCTGTGTCCGACTGTAGGCTAGCTGTAAGTCAGCATTGTGTCAGTCAGCCACATAGTGGATTAGCAATCTGAAGATGGTTCTGCACTTAGTTGAAGAATATGCTTGAGCAGCAAGTAACACAGCATTGGGTTTATTTTTTCAACATCTTGTCTGTTAGGGCTTTTTCTAACAAGGGGTTGGAATCAAAGCACCACATTTTGCGATTTTTATTTTTCGTTTTCTCTCTAGCATACAGAAATCAACATGAATGATATGCATAGGGAGTAGGCAGGACCTGTTGGACTGCAGCTGCCCAGATGATTTACATAGAAAACCAAAACCAAACCACTTCCTGCTGTTGAATTGATTCCCACTCACGGCTGCCCTGTGTGTGTCACAAAAGATCCTGCTCCATAATGTTTTCCCATGGGCCTTTCTGAATACTTCTTTTTCCTCTTCAGTGTTTTCTGTTCAACAGAGGACTGATTCAATATCAGCTAAAACACAAGCTTGAACTTTGAAGCACATTTTAATAAAACATAAGCATTCCAAAGCCCTTACCTCCAAAAATAATCACTTAAGAAACACAGAACCCAAAACTAAACTGCATGATCAGCACACGGATAGCCAACCTGATTCCACCAAACCGAGCAGCAGCTCCCTCCGGTGCAAATGGATTTTGCAGTGGAGGTTTGAATTGGTGGTGAGAGACAGCTGGTTGTGTTCCGCTGCCAAAAGCCAAATTGTCAGCATGGTTAGTTTCCTTTCTCTCTTCCGGCTACCCACAGAGAACCCCATCCTCCTCATCTCATTCCCATTTCATCTTAGAGTGTTTGCTTCAGTCACTTGTCAGGGACACACCACCCTGCATCCCACTGTCTCTTGCTTTACCAGGAACAGTGAGCGGATCATTCTACCCTTCGCTTGTGTTCCTGCAATTTCTGCTCATCCAGAGTTGGCTCTGGTGTCTCACACACAAGTCAATGCTAGAATTCAGTCTCCCTGTACTAGTTCTGATTATGTATTTGGGTGGTTTCAGTCGTCCCCTGTGTTAGCTATTGATCCCTAAATTATAGCTCAGTCAAAAGCCACAAACAGAAGTATGTGTATACTACAAGTATACATGAACAGGTGTGTGTAGACGTGTATGTATACATACGTACATTGTTGTTGTTTTTTACATCCGTAGTTAGGTATTTTATAATAAATTTGTAGCCATATTTGTCCCTTCCACCCCCCAAAAAAATTCCTATTTAACAATGAATACAGTGCCTTCTATTGGACCAACCAATATGATACACACCAGTGCATGAGAAACTCACCAGGGACAGCAAGTCTAAAGTGAATTCATTTCAGGAAAGACTCGAAGTAGGAACAATTTCAATACTACAGTAACCGACACGTTACTATTATGTCATGTCAGACTCGCGGTAGAGCTTCGGAGGCTGTAAAGCCTCATCTTTCTTCCTTGTAATGGCTGGTGGATTTGAACTGTTGACCTTGCAATTAGCAACCTGACACGTAACCCACTTTGCCAAATTTTATACTTCAAAATTTATTACTACAATGCTGTTGTTACGGGCCATCAAGTCAGTTCCAACTCAGCAACCCACTGTAGGGTTTCCAGGGAGTGGCTGGTGGGTTTGAACTGCTGACTTTGCAGTTAGCAGTCCAAGGTTTATCCAGGACTCCAATGTTGTTGTTGTTAAAGTGCTGTCAAATCAGTTCTGACTCATAGCAACTCTGGATGTGGCATCTGAGGCTAGTCCTCCGTACCCCGTGTCCACTTCTTCAGTTTCACTTACTCATGGTCTACAGCCTAACCCCAACATGCTACGGCATTCACCTCACATAACCTTGTTGTTGTTGTTGTTGTTAAGTGCCATCGAGTCGGTTCCGACCCATAGCAACCCTGTACAGGGTTTCCGAGGGTGTAAATCTTTACGGGAGTAGAAAGCCTCATCTTTCTCCCGCGGAGCGGCTGGTAGTTTCGAACCGCTGACCTTAAGGTTCGCAGCCCGATTCGTAACCACTACGCTACCAGAGCTCCTTACATCACCTGTATTACAGTGTATTGTGGTCATTGGTGTAGTTTATTATTGTTGTTGTTAATCCCTTACTGTGCCTAATTTATAAATGAAACTTTATTGTAGGTATGTATGTATATACAGGAAAAAGCTTAGTGTGTATAGGGTTTAGTACTATTTGCAGTTTTAGGCATCCATTGGGGGTCTGGAAAGAACATATCACCTGGATAGAGGAAGGGATTTAGCAGATCTCCGTGTGACCAGCAGAGGGCAGCAGAGGACCGTGAGGACCGCAGTGCACCACCACCTCCAGCCCCATCGCCCAATAACGTATAACCCACTGTCTTTGAGTCTCTTCAGACTCATACCAAACGTTTATAGGGTTTCCAAGGCTGTAAATCTTTACGGGAGCCAAAAGCCATATCTTTATTCCATGGAGCAGCTAGTGGGTTGAACTGCTAACTTTGTGGTTAGCAAGCCAGTGCTTATCCCACAGTGCTACCAGGACTCCTAAATAACATGGTGGTGGTGGTTGTCGAGTTGGTTCCAGCTCATGTTATTGTTGTGAAGCGCCGTCAACTCCGTTCCGACCCACAGTGACCCTGTATAGGGTTTCCGAGGAACAGCTGGTGAGCTTGAACCGCCGACCTTGCAGTTCAAAAGGCTTTGCAGTCTGGCGCATTAACCCACAGCGCCACACCAGGACTCCAGAGGGGCTGTGAATGGTTCCAGCTCATAGCAACCCTGTATTCCGAGGAGCAGCTGGTGAGTTTGAACCCCCGGCCTTGAGATTCAGATGACTTTCTGGTCCAGTGCTTATCCCACAGTGCACACCAGGACTCCATTACTACAATGTTGTTGTTAAGTGCTATCTAATCGGTTCCAACTCATAGCAACCCAGTATAAGGGTTTCCAAGGAGCAAATAGTGAATTTGGACCTCTGACCTTGTAGTTCAAACTGACCTCGTGGTCCTGTGTTTATCCTACAATGCCACACCCAGAATCTGCATTACTACAATTTGTTGTTGTTGTTGTTAAGCCATCGAATCAATTCGACCCATATAGGATATATTTAATAAAATTCTCTAATACTTTCCCCCAGTGCTTTGTAAATAACATGATAGAACATGGACAAAGAATTCATATGCACTATGCTTATAACTCTAGGAGCTCTGGTGGTGTTTAATGGTTACAAATTGGGATGCAAACCTTAAAGTTAGCAGTTTGAAACTACCCACTGTTCCGCGGCAGAAAGATGAAACTTTCTGCTCCTGTAAAGATTTACAGCCTCCGAAACCCTGTACAGGGTTGCCATGTGTCAGAACTGACTCCACGGCACATAACCACCACCACCATGGGTCAGAACCAACTCCATGGCACCTCACAATGACGATGATGCTTATAACTCTAGTGGCTTTGGGATTTTATAGGAAATAATTAAAATGACCAAATACTCTATTTCAAAAATGCTATTAAAGGACAATTGTTTGTTGTTTGGGTCATTGGCCTGGCATAGATGATGAGTAAATAGTTAGAACATTAAACCATAGGCCTTATTACTATAATTTCCTCCCACTGTGTATCAATAGAAGAGAATTGTGCCAAATGACAGAATTCAGAGTGATTGCTCTCTATAGAATATTTCATACAAACCACATTATGGAAGGGAAATTAAGTGATAACGTGTTTACAAAAAAGTG